CATTTTTAAAGATGTAATGTATTTGCTTGAACAGTTATATGCATCATAGAAAATTTACCTTGTCTTTCTTCATTGTCAATATAATTCAATGGGGTTTTCTTATTTTAGTCAATTAGATGTAGTAGTTACTTGATAGTATAACATTATGTCGCTTAACTAACTTTGTTTCAGTGATCAGAAGGTAATAACTTAAGGTAAACATACCCAAATTTTCAATGATTTAGTGTGATAAAGTTATTAATAAGGCATTATAGAAAATTAGCCATTATTTCTTAATTTTCAATGAAATTTGTTGGGATTTTCTTATATAAGTCAATTTGATGTAGGTATAACTTAATATAATAATACTATGTTACTTATATAACTTTGATTCATTTACCATGAGGTTATAATCAGGTAATGTTACTCCCATTTTTAATGAATTAGTGTGTAAGCTTGTATAGTTATACATCATAGGAAATAAGCCATATTTTTTTTGAATATTCAATGTAATTTATTGAGATATTCTTATTTTAATCAATTAGATATGCTTGTTAATTATTATAATAGATTTATGTTGCACTTATAATTCTGTTTCATTTCCTAGGCTGATATAATAAGGTAAAAATCCCCATTTTGTAGTGAATTGGTGTTCTATCTTAAGACAGTAAGGCATCTTAGGAAATTTGCAATAACTCTTATATTTTGTAATGAAATTTTGTGGGACTTCCTTACTTTAGTCAATTAGATACGTTTGTTAATTAATATGATAGATTAATGTTCCTCTTGTAGCTTTGTTTTATTTCCAAGGCACTTATAATTAGGTAAACTTTTCATATTTTGTAGTGATTTAGTGCATTATCTTGGACATTTAGGCATCTAAGGAGATTTGCCATAATTCTCATATTTTGTAATGAAATTTGTTAGGACTACCTTATTTTAGTCAATTAGATATGTTTGTTTATTAATATAATAGATTTATGTTATATAAAAAAATTCTGTATCATTTCCTAAGAGGTAAAGTTTAAGGTAAAATTACCCGGTGTATCAACATTTTATGTGGCACTGCTTTCTTTAATAGTTGGGGTCCACATAGAATTTACTATAACATTTATATTTTTCCTGGACAATTATTGAAATCTTCTTTTTTAAGTCATCTTATTAAAACTTTTAATGAATAAGGTTTATTTGGATTGAGTTATCAATTACATTACTTTTCATAAAAAACCTTGATATGAGAAAAAACATACTACATGTATATGTATACCGGCTCAATAATGACAAAGTTATATATTGTACAAAACTTTTGCATTCATACCATTAAAAGATAATGTGTTAAGCTTATGAATCCAGTATGATTCTTGTAATAAGCGTTCCATATCATCGGTGACAATCTCTATAGGCATCAATTTAAAATCCTTAATACAATGATTGGTTTTATTAAAGTATGTAGAGACATAAATAACGGATCGGAAAAGTTGTTGATATCAAACCTATGGCTATTCATGCGTTTAGACACTTGTTGCTTCGTTTGACCAACATATTGCTCTTTACATTTATTACAAGTGACAAGATATATAACATTTTATATATATCTTGTATTATGCCCTTTTTAATGAACTGACCTACCTATGAAGCATAAAATTGATATTATTGGAAAATTAAAATTACAATCAATTTAAATTGTACCGGTCCCAAAAGATATATTAGTATGCAAAATGGGTTTTTGTAAATTTATATAAATACATAGGTGATATTTAAGTATATTATAGTTAGAATTTTATCAGTTATGAGGTTTATAACTTACTTGAGGGAAGTTAACAAGTGACTTGGGACTACAGCATGCCTATCTTACTCAGCTGAGAAAAATCTTCAAAGTATTATATGGTTATATATGGAAAGGTTATATACTTTTTAAGTTAGCAAAGGGCGACACAGGCTCATCTCGGGTATCTCAAAGGTGTATTATGTTAAGTAATGAGTACGGATTGATAAACCTTAAAAGTGATTTTAGATAATATACAGAATAAAAATTAAGAAAGCTATATAATTATGTTTATCAAAGTGGGTTATATTATGGACCTCATATAAGATATTTGAGCCGCGTCACGATAAAAGCAACATAATGGGTTTGCGACCAGCATGGATCCAGACCAGCCTGTGCATCTGTTCGCTATCAGTGTTATATGGTTTGTAAGTGAACAGTAAAAGCCCAGGCCACATACAAAAATAGTAGTCTATGCCTTGATTATGAGCTGACAGATAGGGGAATTTTGTAAAGGGTGGCTTAGCCTGTCTGTTATGATTACATGTCTAAAAAGAACAACATGGTATATTTTAGCCACCTTAGAATATTTTTTATCTAGAAAAATATCTAGCTATTTTTATTTGTACAAAAATATAGAAATAGTACAATTTATAATTAGTAAAATGTTCACTATACATGTACAAATAATGCAACTATTAACAAATGTCGGTACAGCTGCGGTACAGTATTTAGAAGGTCACGGGTTCGAGTCCATGTCAGGATGCACTTTTTTCTCACCCTGTAACTGACAAACATTTGTATAGCACAGCTAGAAATTAATTTACAATGATAAGTAACCCTGGGAAATCAGTATTTAAACAAGTAAAACGTGTAAGCGGCCGAATAGCTCAGAGGAACTCAAGAGCCGCGGAATCGTATTCCGAGTGTCAGGGGTTCGAGTCCCTGCCAGGCTGTTACATATCAATATAAATCTGTCAAGAAAAATAGGAAGGAACTGTCTAAAATAATTATCACCCTAAATAGTATTCGGATAGGATTCGGACAGTCTTTGATGAAAAGTCAGAAGATGAACTTGTAAAGGGGGTGGGGTGCTAGTCTGATTACCATCATTTGATGTCTGACGAACCTCATATCTAATATATATTGGTACGCATATAAACACCTGTTTGCTGAATTGAATATCAAAAATGTTGCAATTAATTAGTAATTATATCTTATGCGTATGTAAAATAGGATTAAAACTAATTAATCTTCGGCGTAAAGCATGTAGAAATCTGACCAGTATTCACCGCGAGGTCACAAACTTTAAAACTTTAATGTAAATATCACAATAATACTTCTTTATATAATATTTCTATTCTTTGACAGGGACACAGAACATCTCTTACATGTTTAAGAAACAACAAATTTACATAATATATCTATCTAAGATATTCTTTTACTTCTCAATAGTAACAGACGCAAAACACGGTACTTAAGCGCTTAGACGAACGCAGACGCACACTAAACGTTTCTTGGAATAAGAAACGCACGCTTTCAGACGCACGATAGACGAAAAACGATACACGGAAAACGATAAACGTTAAACGCTTGTAAACGATGCATGCTTGAGAAAGCGTTTCAGCAAACGCACGTTGCACGCTATACGCACGCACGTTACACGAAAAACGGACGCACGAAAAACGCTATTTTTGACAACCGAAACGTTCACCCTACTGTACACCTAAAATATCTATGACACAGATATACCGATAACACAGGATGCGCTATCTGTAGATCAGCACGTGGTAAGGTTAATGATGTGCATGAGCTATTTTTAGGAGGACAAAAATCAATCATAAAATAAACTAACTTTGCGTCTTGAAAACGAATTGAAACGGAACATTTTCGTTTATAATTTATTTCTTCCTTCTACTTACGCTTTAAACCGATAAACCAATAGAAATCCTATTTATGATTACCAAAGTAGCTAAAATTAGCTTAGATTTCCGTTATATTAGTTCGTCTGATTCCGCAGTATGGCGGAATCGCCCGAATTGTCACGGTCGCGGCAGAAATCTAGACTGCTTTCTTGTTCCACGATGAACTTACAAATGTATGCTGGAAACCACCTAACCGGAACAACTTTTCCAAAACAAATGGCTTGCCGCAAGCCAAAAACTCATTCGATTCTTATGCACAATTCGCATTGAAAAGAAACAACTGCGATTTAATATCGATATACATTCATGCGATTATTTTTATATATGGTCCTTCCACTACGCAAAGGAAATTATTACATATATTTTCTTAAATTTATATTTCTTGAAAACTTATAAATTGACACTATTACATGCGCATGCCATCTTGAATAACGAATAAACCGTTTTGAAGGTTTTACTTTCACACCTGTTTAAATACAAATAATATAAATTTTACCTGATATATCTTGAATATTTTTATCTTTAAGTTTTTTACAAACTTATTCAATTCACCATTTATTGTATAATCTAATGTGGTGCGAGTTGTATTTACAAATCAAATAGATTCGCAGCATCAGATTGAACAAATAATCTACTTTTAGTATTTGTCATTTCACAATCTGTTCTGAATTTTTCGTTGTAAAAGATATAAATTAATGTTCTGATACATAAAAAGGGGACGACGGCAACAATAAGATTCCATACAAACTTACATAAATGTTGTCTTATTTGTCAGAAGTATTTTCAACAATTTAGAGATTTTAACAACTGTGATGTAAATTGTTTATTTGAATAATAAATTCTGTTTAGTATGTTAACCCCGAATTAAAGCATTTAATTCGGTTAAAGTCTAATAACACATTGTATACCCAGTAACGCAGGAATGAGCATAGGACGCACAAGTAACGCCAAATACGTGTAAAGCTATATTATGGCCAAATCGAGTATCTCGGTAAGTTAACGGACCAAAATAGTTTATCGCAAAGCAAACTTACGACAGCACCAGGGGTCAAACCACCTCACCTGCTGGCGCGACGTTATGCAGCGACACCAGTTTTTCGAACCCATATAGTCGCCTCTTAACTTTGGGATAAAACGTTGTCTGCAGTTCTGATGTCTCAACCCTTAGAGGCAACCCCTAAATCACAATGGGGTATTTTGCGAAGTTATAAATAAAGAAGATACATTGTATATGATGCAGCAATCAGTTGATTTTTGTATTGCTGATGATACAGTAAAGTACATTTACTAACTTGCTAAACAATCGACATTAAAAAAAAACAATGAAAGGTAGTTTATATTCAAATATAGTATTCTGCTTATATAAAAGGGAGATAATGAGCATTTAATTTAATAATTATTAACAAAGTGTTGTCGTCCCTTTTTGAGCAAGGGTATTGATATTACTGTCTGTGAAATTTAGCGTTTTGTTCCCCGCTACGTTTGTAACGGTTAAATATATATTAATATTGAAATGTACTAATTTGTTCAACAAATCGAAAGACTGATATCTGAATAAATTTCTTTTCTGAATAGTAATTTGCACCAATGACTCGTTTTCATCAATTGTACTTTGTAGAAGTTAAACCGGGGAAAAACAACCGTGAAAAACGTTTGCTAAAATCCAACTTCTGCTTATTTCCCTTTGACAGCTAGTTATATTTTGAAGTGCCGATATTTCGGTCGTATAGCAAAGTTGATCCTAAATATTCAAACAAACTGGATTAAATGTAGGAAATCTTAATTTTTGTTTAGCAAAATTAACAATATAAATCATATTTATTTCCCACTCGTCCAATGCCTGTTTTGGTTACCTCTCGTACTTTTATATGAAACATAGGAACAAACAGCGCAAGTAAGTTCTCGACCGTTTATATATGGTGGGCATTTTAGTGAACCACATCTTCCTTCAACAGAAAACATTAAAATTCCATTTTGATCTGCATTGCAACCTGTTATGATCTCCGGAGATTCGTCCAGACACACGTATTCAGATGCAGCAGGATGCGTATGATGTCCAGCAACTAGCACCCCTCTGTATTCCAAAGTCCAACCGTTGTGACATTCATTTCTGGCAGGAATCATTCTAACAGGTGTTCTTGGGGTTTTACAAACAGCACATGGTACATCATGGTCATGCGTATGTGGAGATTCATCAAAACACTGATATTCAGCGCCATAAACAAATGCCCGATTGTCATTTAAATCGTCATTGTACTTTGCCCACGGTGGGTTTTTTGGCAAACAGAGGTAATTTACTGCCGCCCCACTGTGGGTGTAGTGAGAACCTGCTGTATACCCGTCATGCACGAGTTCTGCTCCATTATCTGGGCATGTTGTCCGTCTTTCGATATCCGATATTGATATTTTTTCAGAGCACCGCACATATTTAGGGTTTTCATGGATAAGCGATTGTAAAACAAATTATTATTTTTTCAATTCTTTACCATTTGGAATTAGTACCGCAGGACATATTTTTACAAAAATGTTAAGAGTTGTTGTGTCTTTTTTAAGAAGTAAAGGTCACCAAGTCATTATGTTCTTAGATGACGGAATTTGTGGTCATGTCAATTATGACGTAGCTAAAAGATCCAGTGCTTGTGTGAAAACGACACTTTGTGATTTCGGTTTTCTTTTGGCAGACGAGAAATGTAATTGGCAGCCGACAAATAGAGTAGTTTGGCTTGGCCATATTCTTGATATGTCCGAAAATTTGTTATACATAACAGATTCTAGAATAGATAATCTTGAGAAATCAATAGATTCTGTTTTATTTCAAATCAAATTCGATAAATTGGGTATCATTAATGTGAAAACTTTAGCATCAGTGGTAGGAAAGATTATTTCTCTTCAAAATGTTATAGGGAATAAAGTTAGAATAAGAAGCAGAGAAATGTATAGATGTATTATGTCTAGAGCAAGTTGGAATGCTCCAGTCAAGGTAAGTGAGCCAGCTATCGCAGAATTAAAATTCTGGCGAGAAAATGTGAGGAAATTAAACCAAAAAGGGAAATATTTCAAAGATATGTCAGTTTGTGGAGTAAGTATATATGTCGATGCAAGTGCGGAAGGGTATGGTGGATTCATACAAAATGAGCAATTTACTGAGAAAAAAGACAAAGAGCTTGATGAAATCTATTCTCAAGGTGAGATATCTATGTTTCCTATATTGAGTGTACATTCCGAATGTATATCGGATATATGTACAGATAAACTTGGGTTCCCGGAAGTGAACCTAGTTTCCGAATACAAGTCGGAATTGAACATTAATGACAGTGGGCTCCAAGAAGTGAGCATCGACTCCGATTTTCTATCGGAAGTGTACACCTGTAAAAGCAAACTCCCGGAAGTGAGTATTAATTTCGAAGATATATTGCACACAGATAGTAGTCAAGTGCTCCCGGAAGTGAGCTTTGATACCGATTGTATATCGGAATGTCATAAAAGTAAAGACAAGCTCTCGGAAATGAGCTTAGTTTCAAAATGTCTCCCGGAAGTGAGTCATGGCTGGTTAAACGAATGTAGAAATAATTCTAAAGGGCCCTCAGAAGAAGGCAAGGTTTTCACAGGCGTTCCTGGTGTTGACAGGAATGATATGGTTAGCACTCTGGTTCAGAATGTACGTTATATGCCTAAAAGAAATGGTAAACTGAGTAAAGCTTACAAATCCTTTACGCCAAATAGGCCAGGGATGGGAGGAGAATTGCGGAAACGGAATTTCAGGTAATTGGTAAGTGGGACGATTTCGAAAGAGTTCGTAGTTCCACGTGGAGAGAAACTGAAGCTGTAAGTAGAGTGATTAAGAGCAATGCACATGTATTAAAGAATAAGCAAGTTCAAGTATTGTCTGATAATAAAAATGTTAAATCCATTTTATTAAACGGAAGTAAAATTCCAAGTATTCAAAAAACGGCATTAGATTTAGACATTTTTTGTGAAAATGAAAGTATTGTTTTATGTCCGGAATGGATTCCTCGGGAACATAATGAGCTTGCAGATTATCTGAGTCGCTGTAAAGATTGCGATGATTGGGAAATACACGACAGTGTGTTTTTCACGTATTGACCGTTTATGGGGACCGCATACAATTGATCGCTTTGCCTCTCACTTAAATAATAAGTGTTTAAGATTTAATTCCCGTTGGTGGGTACCAGGCACAGACGTTATAGATTCGTTGTGCAAGAGCTGGGAAAAAGAAAATAATTGGCTTGTTCCGCCACCAAGATTAGTAGTGCACTGCATAAATAAGATAAATAGAGAGCACATCAAATGTACATTAGTTCTGCCAAAATGGAAAAGTGCTCCTTTTTGGCCGATGTTGATCAATGAAAACGGAAATTTCAATTTTTTTGTTAAACAGGTATTAAATTTGTACAGAACAAATGTTTTGTTGGGAATGGTTATAATGGCACATTTGATAATGAACCATTAAAATTTGATATGATAGCTTTAAGAATAATTAGTTAGGTGAAATGTAAGATTATTATATATGGTAATATTTTTTCAGGTGTTGGCTTAAAATCTACGTTGAAACGTAAAATGCAGGATGCTGGAGTTTATAGCAGCGAAATGGACACTATTGCTAGCAATATGGCAGGCTATTTACTGCAGTCACGTGCTGATAGTACTACAACTAAATATAAACATTGTTTTACTTTATTTGAGGAATATTGTAAAGTGAATTCGCTTACAGCAAAACCCGCACAATCAATCATTGTTGCCATGTATTTGGTAAATTTATTGGATCAAGGGAAATCGTATCACGTTATTTCATCTGCATTTTATGCAATTAAATGGGTGCATAGATTAAATGATCAACCAGATCCTACGGACAGTAACATTGTACAAAACTTGTTAGAAACAGCGAAAAGAATTCGTTCTACACCAACTTCTAAGAAAGATGTTGTTGATACAGAAATGTTAAAAACTTTATGTGCTTTGTACCAGAATTCCACAGATGTTTTAGAATTAAGAGATTTATCAATGATTTTAATTGGTTATGCTGGATTTCTTAGGTTTAATGAATTGAGTAATTTATTGTGGAAGGATGTTGATTTCAAAATAGATCATATTGTTTTAAAGATTCAAAAAAGTAAGACCGATATTTATAGATCGGGTAAAGAAGTTTTAATAGCTAAAGGTTGTTCGGTTGCATGCCCGTATTCAATGTTACAAAGGTATATGACAGCAGCTCATTTGTCTGTTATTTCAGATAGTTATCTTTTTAAGCCAGCGTTTAGATCAAAGGGTAAATCATCACTTATTAAACTCAACAAAAAATTAAGTTATACAAGGGCTAAAGAATGCATTGTGAAAAAGCTTAAAGTAGTTGCTCCGTCTCTTAAATTAGGAACACATTCGTTAAGAGGAAGTGGTGCTACCATGGCCGCAAACGCTTCCGGCGTTTCCGATAGATGTCTTAAACGTCATGGCCGTTGGAAAACAGACGTAGCAAAAGACGGGTATATTAAAGATTCTGTTGAGAAGAGATTATACGTTACTAAATCATTAAAGATGTAATTAATTATTGAATTTGAATGCAATCGGCACTAAACTTTGTATGTCTATAAAATAACCTCGCTACAATGCACAACATTGTTGTTTGTTTATTGTAAGTTAGAGTAAGACTTACTGGTTCTCCGCGTTACATCGTATAGAGGAGAACCATTGTCTAACTGTAACGGATTACATAAACCGGTTTTGAAGGCTTGAATGTATTCAAGCATACATGTGTATTTTATACACGGGTATAAATACCCGCGGCAGAGTATGAAAATCAGTTCTAGCGATATTTCTCTTACGAGATCACCAGCATTCAAATTCAATATTTATTATGTTATAAGATTATGTTAAAGCCATAATTAAGCAAACTGTTTTATAAGGGAAAAATTACAATGTCAGTGAAAAAATTTATTGAATGTATTGGTTTATTTCAAGTTTGTATATGTGGAACTGAACATGTATTTTGATTAAGGAAAATATATTGATATGTATATATTCAATATGTACGTTAGCATGTCTGAGCACGGTCCGTTGTTCAATATTCCGAGGAATAGTCTGAGGAGGATCACTTTTGTGTTTCCTCCGTGCATGCCCACGGATTCTACGGTTCCTCTTACATTTAAAAAAGATAAAAAGGGGTTTTACGCAGGCGGCCAGTATTCCTGTGACGAATATACGATCGAACCTGTTAAGTTTTGTTTGACAATGTTTAACATGTGAAGTGTGACGGGCCTTTGGTTGTGTATGTATAAGTCGAACACGATAACGTTTACATTAATCGGTCGTATCATGACAAAATGGGTTGTGCAAGTTATTCAGTTATTACATTTTGCATTTTTTTTGTAATATAGAAAATAAATGTGGGTTCGAGTAGCGTAGTGGTTAGAGAGTTCAGATTATGAAGAGTTCATGTGAACATAATATTTGCTGAATTCAAATCTGCAATTGTGCAATATTATTTTTGTGTCTGTATGGTTTTTACTTTCAGAAAACATGTTCATATTTCCTTTAATAAACTCCTTTAATATTATCTTTAGAAAAAATGAATGCATTTGATTTCAACAGTCATTGAACAGATTAAATAGTATTGTCAATTTAATTATATTTAAAACTCTGAATTCAATTTGCTTCATTTTTGGCTCATTTGTGTTTTTATATATTTAGTTTTCTTCCATTCCTCATTTATCACTCTAGTCACGACTGTGTTGTTCTGCTGAAAGCGAATGTGTGTAAAACTAAATGTTCTCTCATTGTATTGTGTGAAATATATTCACGAAGAACTAAAAATATATAAAAACAAAAACAAAATATTTAGAAAGAAACAAAATGCTTTTTCCAGGAATCGAACCAGAGTCTCTACACTGACGAAGCCAACATTCAACCAATGCGCTATTACGCTGAACAGTTAAAAAATGAGTAATTGTTTATGGTGATTAAAGCTTTAGGCGATAAATAGTATCCTTTTATATAAGAATTATCGACACCCCTTTTTGTCAATATTGATAATGAAAGGAATAGCGATTTAGAGTTCTTTTTATTGTATCAGCTTATATAATTATTGCGGTACAATGTTGAATGAGATATTATGATAATGTGAATCTGATACGAATTAGTAAAAAAGAAAAGGGAAAAGAAAAATAGAAAAAAATAGGTAAGCTTATTTTTAACAAAAAATAATTTAATTTGGTACCAAGTTTTAATCACCGTACTTTTAGATGTACAATATGGATCACAACCAGAAACATGCTTTAACAAGACATGACAACAATGTTTTCTGTCGTTTGTTCCTTTACGGCTAAAATATTGATTTTTTAAAAATTTAAATCCATCCTTATTTCCAAAAACAATTAATAAACACTAATAAACAACAAACACGACCCAGACTATCTATATTCTTCAAACATCAAAAAGGCATACTCTGTACATGTCTTGAGTAAATAAAAAATAACTTTTAATTTGAATACTTAATTTGCGCTTGTTAAAAATATGTACAACGTAATCCCTCCGGACATGTCACATGGTCACATTACGCGTTTTCGTTTGAAGTTGAAACCAATGTGCAGTACAAAGTACCGATACTAATTGCGATATCAAATTTCTTAATTAGTAATAAGATATTTTATAGAATAGGTAATGTGTACGGTGGTATAAAGGTGACATGTGTGTATTCTTTTATTTATCTCGTGGCCACGTGATACTATGTCGTGGCCACGAGTTACTTAGTCGTGGCCACGAGATACATAAGTCGTGGCCACGAGATACTATGTCGTGGCAACGAGATAGCTAAGTCGTGGCCACGAGATAATATGTCGTGGCCACGTGATAGCTAAGTCGTGGCCACGAGATACTATGTCGTGGCCACGAGTTACAAAGTCGTGGGAACGAGAAGGCTAATTCGTGGCCACGAGACAATTAACCAATAAGAATACACTATATATATTATGAATTTTTTAAACTTAAAAACTTACTTTTACATTATTCTTTGAAAATACTGAACATATTCACTTTGAACTTTAGAATCATATTAGAAAGTCACCTTCAAAGTCCTTTGGAAATCCTTGTTCTATAGCACATGTCCAGTTAATTCGGGAAATTCATGTAAATAGCGTAATCTGATTGGTTATTTATTTCATGACCACGACTTAGCTATTTCGTGGCCACGACGTAGTATCTCGTGGCCACGACTTAGCTATCTCGTGGCCACGATTTAGCTATCTCGTGGCCACGACTTAGTAACTCGTGGCAACGACTTAGTAACTCGTGGCCACAACATAGTATCTCGTGGCCACGACTTAGTAACTCATGGCCACGACATATTATCTCGTGGCCACGACATAGTATCTCGTGGACTCGACTTAGTAACTCGTGGCCACGACATAGTATCTAGTGCGCACGAGATAAATTAAAAACACACACACCTCGCGTTTGGGACACCGTAAATGTGACAATATGATTAATACTGTTTCTTATATATATTCACAACAATGAATTTACTCACGAAGGATAACTCATTTACTAAATAATTATACATAGTATCTCGTGGTCACGACTTAGCTATCTCGTGGCCACGACTTAGTAACTCGTGGCCACGACATAGTATCTCGTGGCCACGACTTAGCTATTTCGTGGCCACGACTTCTATTTCTTATATCTCGCTCCGCGTCCCCGCGGGACGAAGTTTTATTTATTAAATTTCGCCCACGCCCTCTCTAATTAGCGTTTTTTAGCTCCGCGCCCCCGCCGTTTTAACTTGTTAATTCTTGACTTTTCGCTTGGCGGGTTCGCGGGACGAAAACACGATAATAAGAGGGGGCGCGGAGCGAAGTTTAATAAATAAAACTTCGCCGCGCGTCACCGCTAATTAGCATGTTTTCGTCCCGCGAACCCAGCGTTTTATTTCTTAAATCTTACTCCGTGCCCCCGCGGGACGAAGTTTTATTTTTTTCACTTCGCTCCGCGCCCTCGCCAATAAGCGTTTTTTCGCTCCGCGCCCCCGCCATTTTAACTTGTTAGTTTTCGACTTTTTGCTTCGCGGGGTCGCGGGGCGAAAACACGAATGGCACAAATCAGCCACTAAATATTAGGATGTTTCGGTGGTGCAGAATCAAATCAAAATTTAACGTGTTGTTTGTACAATTCAGCAATTAATCTTTCAGGAACATTATCTGCGACGTACAACTTCCGTCAGGAATCAACACAGATCATGCTGGCGTGGTGATTAGCAGTATGTCAGTTTGCTTCTCAATTTATTTTTATTTCTTAACAACTCCCAGTATAATTACTACGAATGTGTGGGATGTACTTTAAAGTTAATTTAGGACATGAAGTATTTAATTATTAGCTCATAAATAAAGAAATTACAACTGATTAACAGGAGCACCGCACACAATATTTACGCTCGTCTGTTTTATATTCTTAGTTAATTTCAGAATTATAAACCCATCTATGGAAAGCGATGGCTGTCTGATATTGTTCTTTTTCAATATCTTTAACCATTTAGGTAATATATATGTTCACATCGACTATATATGAATTGAAAACACCTTCTTATTTAACCGGAATCCATTATATTAATCCACAGTTACACTATATGAAACCATACCGTCAGTGTATGAAACCGAGATATCAATATATAAGTTGATTTTCTCAATATTTGATTCCAGTTCTTCAATATATTGTAACACAGTAGCCATGTATGGAACCACATGTCCTGATATGAAACCGAATCATCTATATATTAATTCATTTTACAATATATGAAACCAATTTATCAATATATGAAACCAAAGTAGAACTATATAAGTTGGATATCACATTATATGATACCAATTCTTCAATATATGGTACCAAAGCAGTCATATATGGAACCAGATATCCATATATTGAACCGAATAATCAATATATTAATTCATTTTACAATGTATGGAACCGAAGTAGCAATATATAAGTTGATTATGAAATGTTATGATACCAATTATTCAATATATTGTACCAAAGTAGCCATATAAGGAACATAAGTATGAAACCGAATGTTCAATATATTAATTCATTTTTACAAATTATGACACCAATTTATCAATGTGTGGAACCAAAGTAGCAATTATATATGACTTCATTATCACTTTATATGATACCAGTTCTTCAATATATGGTACCAAAGTAGCCATATATGGAACCAGATGTCCTTATATGAAACCGAATTATCAATATATTATTTCATTTTTACAATATATGAAACCATTTTATTAATTTATGGAACCAAAGTAGCAGTATATAAGTTGATGTTACATTCTATGATCATCGCAATTTTCTTCATATGGAACCAAAATAGCCTATGTCAAAGGCAAAGGTCACTGGGTTCTGTTATTACAATGCATACACTTTTTCATGAAATCGATAATTATTTGACTTTTGTGAGTAGATTAATCTTTATGTGTCCTACTGGCCATGCTCATTTTTTTATCAAAGGTAAAGGTCGAGATGAACTTATTTTTATGCCCCCCGGGCATATAGTAATT